CTAAAGGATTCTATGATTCTATTTGTTCTAATTATTCTTTTGTTAACATTTTCCTGCAAAGCCATCACTATTCACTTATTAAAAAAAGAAACTGATGAATACGGACCAAAAGACACATATCTATTCTTAAAAAAGAACAGATTTAGCAAAGGCTGCTTATTCCTCCGCAGGCCAGCATGCACACACACATTTGGATTTTATAATAAGTAGGTTAACGTCCAATTTTCAACACAAAATGTTAGAAATACAAAAAATATCCCAAATTTCATCTTACAATAGTGCAACATCTGTCACATCCAGTCATTTGTTTCAGCTACGTAAGATTTGTTTTCAGCTCAAGCATCTGCAGTTAAATCCCTCAGTTTTCCATGAGATACAGATAGCAGACCTAATGTCTGAATAGAGACACACAGAGTATTCCCCACTGACACCAGCAGATAAAATTTTGGCCTAAGAATCCTGAATGATACTGTAACTGACTTTTATGGCAAGTTTAAAACAAATAAAAACTCAAGGGGAAGGAGAGGAAAGGATTTAACAGAAAATTCACAACAGTGGAGAGAACCAAGGCAAAACTGACAGTAAGAAAAAATAAGGTAAAGAAACTAAGATGATTTTCTAATAATAAAAGAGCACATACAAGCAACAGTAATTCAAAAAATAAACTGTGGATTTAGCATGCAGTTTTCCAGAAGGTGCATCACCTAACAGAACAAGAAATCACAAACTTGCTAAATTCTGAAGGGACCAAATTGGGTGGTGGAGGAAGAAGGAAGAGGGAAACAAGTAGAGCACATAGTAGCTAGGCTAGGAATCCACAACATACAGTTTATTTTTTTGCCTTTCTGCAAATTGAAAGATGTTAAAAACTTGAACAAATGCTATGCAGTTTTGAGAGGACAGACTGTTAAGTGGCAGGAAGAGGAACAATTTTATGCATTTTATTTACTGCAGGACTCAGAAGCTGTGGTGCTACATTAGCACTGTGCCTGCATGACCTAACCAACCTGCCAGGTCTGCCTGTGCTTAGGATGTATTTTGTAGCTACAACCCCTTCACTCCACATGGACTGGCACAAACCTCACATTTAGAGTGACAAAGATGTATTCCACAAAAGCCTAACTCAAGTTAATAAGTGCCTATTGCATTTGCATTAATAAATTTGCATTAAAAAATAATGGAGACAATACCTGTTCTGTTCCCAGGGGAACTTCTGTCTTCCCCAGAGATCCGTGGAGCTCTCTGCACTTTCGGCGCCTTGGCACTGCTGTTTATTACTTTAATGGTGGTGGGGGTAGCAGGCTGTACCGACGCTGGAATGATCTGCACCGCTGCCAAGCAGAGAACATTGCACAACATCACTTAGAAATTGCTGCCACAGGAACAGGCACACATTATTTATTACCTTTATTATCCTAACACCTAGGAGCTACGTTTTTTCCTGTCCTAAAAAGATACAATGTATAAGTCATAAAGCTAAGAATAATTTAACGACTTCTTACCACTTACAGTGGAAATTGTGGTTTCAGACTTATACTAGAAATGACACACTACAGATAGAATATCAGCTTTAGTTTACTACCATGTATATTACATTTCCATAAAAAAACCCCCAACCCTCTCATGCCTTTGTTTTCATCTCCATGCTGTTCCCATATGATCTACCCCCTATAGTCACTCTACAACCCTCCACACCTCCTATTCAAACAGCAATTAAATACCCTTCTGTTGCAACGGTACAAAAGGATGCAAAGCCAAGATGTAGTACACAGACTATTTATTCAACATGTAAGCTGCTTACAGGTCTTCTGAAAAGTGATTCATTTTAATAATTCATGACATTGCCTCAGCTGGAAGAATGAGTTTCAGATGACTGTAATGTTACTTCAACATATTTTTCCTAGTATTGTTTTCTAAGCAAGTCCTCCCCAACACACTCCCTTTCAGTTTTTAGAAATGCTTCCTTTTGAAATCATAACAAATTAATGTATCTATTAATTAATGCAGTATAGAACCTAAAAACACGCAGAACAACTCAAGAACTCAAATACACATCCTAGACAGCACACTTCAAGAGTGGAAAACCGACTGCCCAAAAAGAAATTCAGAAACTTTCATAGGTCAGGTTATAGATCACCTTTCAACCAGTAACAAAATACCTAGAAACCCAACACTTTGCTTTTAAGGTTACAATACACTCTCCTCCCCTCACCAAGGGAAATCACTCGAGTGGTTTTCTCAGTGTTGTACCGCTGTAGCACTGAGCCAAAGTACAAAGCTAAACCTGCAGCTAACCGTGTGGACTAACTGCTGCCAGAGGGACTTACGCTGATCAATAGTAACAGTTGCTATTTCTCCAGTGTGTTCTTGGCTAACCAACACATCTGCAAATTAAAAAAAAAAAAGGATAGGAAGTTTGTATTTAGCACACAAATTTCAAGTCACCTGAAGATCAAAACTTTTCATATTTCATAGAGGAAAAGTGTAAAAAGTTGGTCTCAGTCTGCAAGAGACATGCATAGGTCACTGTCTTATGAATAGAGACATTTAGCATCTGTCATTCAATTGTTAGAAATGAGGATGCACATGGTTCATTTCAAGGTATGTTATGCATTCTCCCTAAAGCCTTTAGCTATACCATATAAATGGAGAGTGCTGTTGGTCTGCCCAGTTACAACCAAGGCTGGTGGATCTGAAATGCCCACATACACATCACTGTGCTGTACACGTACAACACATCGACTTATCGCTTGTGTTGTGCACATTCTAAGGATTTCATTGCCTGTGCCTAATAATCTTCACCTTCATATGACAGAGAGATGCACATTAAATAACTGACAATCAATATTTAATTATAAAACGGTCAAATTCAGGAGACGCACAAACTAAAAATCTTAATAATTAAAACAAAGGAGGAAATCATCAGTCTCTACTTCCTATTAGCTATGAGGTTTGATGAAATATGGGTAAACTGTGTTTAGTATGCAGACACGTTTCATACAGCAGACATGCTCACTAATATCTCCTCTTCTGCTGATGCCCTAATTCTTTCTGCCAATATGAGGTAGAGAAAAGCGACAGCTCGTAATGGGTTTCATCTGAGGGAAGAGGTAAAATCAGAAAAACACAGAAAAAAATCTCCCGTACATTTTCGCAGAAGCTCCAGATGGCTCCAGAGGATCTCTCCCCGTGGGACTCGCAGGAAGAAGTCTTCCTGGCTGAGGCTGCAGAGCTCCCGCCCGGGAATGCTGAGCGCGTTGAGGTCAATGTCAGTCATGCTGAACTCCTTCATCACCCACAGCACCCAGTGGAGCACCTGGTCTGTCGACCACTGCACCGGGTCTGAGAAAAACAAGACAAAAGGGCAAATCACCTCATTCTGTACTGCCAGGTGCCTCCTCCCTTGAGGATACAGAGCTAGTCCCTGCTGTACCTGACAACAACACTGAAATGCAAGTGGCTACTGATTCACAGCATTCAAGTTCCTTTTTCATATGACCTTTTCTGAAAGCCTTTTAAAAAACTTTATTTAGGGGCTTCTTGTTATCTGTTCATTTATTTTCTAAAAAGGACATGGTTTTAGGCCAGTCAGTGCTGCTATTCAGTTTGAGTCCAAAGATGGTATGCTTTCAATTATCTAATAGCTTCTATAAAAGAAAACATACAAAAGTGTTGTTACCATGACCAAATACGACTGGATGGAACACTGATTCCTCTTAAAATGCTGAAGGAGTGGTGTCACTTGGATGAGAGATAGAAAGGGTGAAAAAGGGATTTTAGAAAAAGCTTTTGCATCAGAACTACATCTGAGATTTCTTACACACATAAGATATTCTTCTTTTTCCATAGGTCTTTAGTTTCCATAAAGAAGAGCATCCTGATGTGAGAGAGGAAACTTCTCAAATATGTTGATCAGCATGTGATTACAATGAAATGTTACATTCTAAAGTCATTAACACTATCCCCATTTCTAAACTATTTTAAATCACTGTTGTATTGGGTTTGGCTGAGATGGAGCTAATTTTCTTTGGAGCAGCCCATATGATCCTGTGTTTTAGCTTGGAGACCAAAACCGTGCTGGTAGATGTTTCAGCTACTGCTGAGCAGTGCTTGCTCATGATGGTGAGAGTATTATATGGAGACTGGTCATGGGAACCATGTCAGTACTGTGACTGAGGCGTGTACTGCAATTACTGTATCCTTCTAAGTGTAACTTACCTTTGTATTACATTTTTAGTATAATTTGTATCACTCTACTAAATCAGAAATCACATGTAACAACAACCATCTTCATATAAATTTGATATTAACACACACTCTCTGTACATGGAGTACCTAAAAGAAGCTGGTCAGAGAGTACTGGACTCCAACACAAGGCTGCCTCTGCTTCTCATTTGGCCACCCCAGTGAGTAGGCCAAGGATGCAAAAGAAAATGGGAGGGGCCACAGCCAGGACAACTTATTAAATTGTCTTTATTTTGATCCATGATTTTTTCTTTTTCAAATTGCTTTGGCTCTTGTGGTTCTTTCCCCCATTCCTCTGGATGGGAAGTGAGCAAGTGACTGGGTGGAGGCTCACCTGCCAGCTGGGGTCAACCCACCACATGGGTGGGTTAATAAACATCCCCTACATATACAGATAGATAAAAAGATAAACCAGTAAGTGTAATACACCACACCTACAAAGACCATGTTAAATAAACCATTAAGCCGAGACTTGATACAATAGGACCCAATGCATGCCTGTACTTGAATCAAACAAGCCACAGCATCAAGTTTTGGGATGCCCGTTTGACATTTCAGCACAACACAACACATACATCACGTGAAGCACAGAAAATCATGAACAACTCACACAGCAGAGGAACACACAGACATAGTTAATAGTCAAGGTATGTGCAATACATGACCTGCTGTCTTAAGACATTTTAACATAAAGTCTGTTGTTTCAGGCAGTATTAGAGTGAACAATCTAGAAAGAGGATGGGTAAACCTAAGCATCACCCTCAGAACTTTGCTGAACTTGCATGCTAGATACTAAAACATGTCAACAAGTACAAACTAGAAGTGGAAACTTAAGCAGGGATATTTACTTCCACTATCTCAAGCGCAAACAACAGTAGCAGAACAATTATTTTTTTTAAATTGTGATACCCCCAACAGATGTCACCTTGACAAGTTTTTATTTCAGAAACTAAAGAAAGCAAAGCTTTCTAAGTCTGTAAACATTATCTAGGAGCCACAAATTCCATTTTCCTTAATAAATGACAGTAACATTGCATCATTTTTGACTGATGCTATCTAAACCCATGCAATGTCGTCCTTTGGGAAAAGCCACACAAAAAGGGTTTTGGTCTTCAAAATGTTACCAACATTGAATTTACAACAAAATGCTGCTCGTTTGTTCTCATTGACAAAACATAATCTGCAAGGTAACTTGAATAATTACTTTCCCTAACCAGTTTCACTGTTTCCAAGCTTTTTGTTCCTTCAATTTCTGGCTTTATTTCTTGTACCAATTACTATTGTCCTTATTCCTATGGATATTTGCAATCACACCAAATTTTTGGATTCTGTTAGCAGAAATACCTTTAACAGCTAAAGATTTGTAATCTCTAGTAAAACTCAACAAATACAAGACAAAGGGAACACCAAGATCTGCTAAAAGCTAATTATCCATTTGCAGCAAACCAAGAAAACCTGTAAGGATGAAGATACTGAACCACTACCTTTCTGGATGATGATTATTTACTGACTGCTCTTGATTCAATATCAACATGCCCTGCCTTTTGAAAAGATTCAAGGAATAATTTCAGAGAACTTCACACAACCAAGCCTCATATTTCTTTGAAACTGGCCTCTGTCTATTTTTTAAGATGTATATTTATAAATTTTTTTTTCAGGAAAAAAAAAACAAACGTTTTGAGGGGCTACATAAGAACCTTCATAAATAAAGAACATTCTTTATTCTCAGAAACTTCCAACTGTATTATGATGTAGAACTTAGTGGTGTCTTATTCTGACCCAGATCCCTGCAAGGTCAACTCAGGTAACATTTAAAATTTTGTTCTTTTTAGGAAGGCAGTTTAGCAACATTTTTCTGGTATCAAGAGAACACTAGTCTTAATACAGAGATCTCTGACATATAAAGCTAGTATGATTTTCCTGGAAAATCTGTGCTCCTCTGACACAAATGGCATTAAACTTTTACAGTCACACTTGTGAGTTATAGTGGTTTCTTAAAGCAGGAACATTATTAAAATCTATTAACATTATTCAACATAATAATAACATAGTTTTAAGTAATTTTATTTTTATATTAATGGGAGAGCATGCTGAAAAACATCAGTCTGCTCCTGATAGCGCCTCACTTTTCTGTTGTTTTGTTTTCATACATTCTGCATCAAATCTGATTATTTGTAGACGTAGCATGACGAAACAATTTTGGAAGTGCTTGCCAAGGAGAACAAGAAAAAGGCACGAAAATGGTGTGGATCTCATTATCAAATCCCATTCAAAATACTGGCAAGCTACATGTCCTGCCAAGACCTGTGACTTCACTGGCATTCTTAAACACTTCCCAGTATACTCCAGTTTTGCAAGTCTGCTCAGATACTTATGGCTCCATGTGCTGAATGTGCCTTGGCAGCATATTTCACAGGTCACAACAAGTAACTCAGATGCATAATCTCCTGAATGCAATGTAGATCTGAAACCCACAATTTCAGTTCAACCCTAAGCAGGCATTCAGAGATGCCTTTTCTTAAGCTAACATTAAATTAGCAACCTCCTAAGTAACAGCATTAATTTAAAAGAGATGATCATCTGCCAGAATACTTATATTCAGTTCTGAATCATCTTTTTCCAGTATGTTGAAGTCAAGTATGGCTTTCCATGCAAAATCCAATTTAACACCATACTCAGCATCCTGCAACCCACAAACAACTTGTTCCAGCATCTTTTGTGGCAACCCTCACCAAGTACTGAGCTTAGTTCAAATTCAGACACACTTGAAAACAAACTTTATCATTAATGTACACTTTCTTAAGGAGGGGAGGAAAAAGAAAACTGTTTTTTAAAAAACTGTAGTGTCAAGATTATGGATCAAAAAGCATTATTTTAATACAACTATTACAAGCACTGATTGTACTTAACTCTAACCTTGTTCTATACAGATATTTGCACTGTACTTACACATACCGTAAGAAACCTTCTCTGAGATTTTGGAGCATTTTAATCACATAACCAAAATTAATTAGAATGTATAAAAAAACCCCCAACAATACCCCAAAAGAACAAAAGAAGCCAGCCCCTGCCTGAACACACAGAGCCACGTGTCATTACCATAGGGTATTCCAAGGCGCTCCTGCTCCTTCCGGTAGCCTTCCAAGGCCGCGGCCCATCGTGTCACTTGCTCAGAGGTTTCATCTGATATTGTTGTAATATGTTTTGTTCCATCCAAGGTTATCACTTGAGCTTCCTCAACAAGGTGAGCTTCAGCCTGTGCGTGATGAGCATCTGGATCAATCACTACCTCCACAGTCTCCACAGGCTTCACAATTTCAAGGATGTTTAGCTTGGGCTCTATCCCTAGGTGCAGAACGAACAAACACAAAACTTGAAGATAGCGATGTAAATACAACAGAAATTTTAAAGCTTTCTGATTAATAGTTGTTGGCATACTTAGGAAAGAAGCACGACACAAAAGCATCATCAGATTTCTGCAAGTGTCCTAAATTAGAATGACATATTCTATTGCACAGTATATACTTTAGTAAGGTGAATTCAAAGCTGCCCTTCTTTCCTCCCTCAGTATCACAGCTTTCTGCTCTATTTAGGTGATCCATTTCACAGATCTTGAACAGAACGTTCAGCATGTGGGCATAAAGAACAAGTATTTTGGTTTGTAAGAAATATACCAAACTGAATAAGAAAAGCAACCCCCCCAAATAACAGAACAAGCATCCACCTCTTGCCCCCCAACCAAGAGGCATTTCTTTCAGCCTTTACCATACTTCCCTGACAACTCTGGGGTCTATGCACAGGAGTTAACATTTACTTTCAGTACCCTGCAAGAGGCAGTGAGTTCAACAGCGCATTAAAAGACAACTAGAAAATTCTTCATGTTTTAAGTTTCATCAGCTGTCCATGTTTTGGGTTTAATATCTGTCATTTAAGATATCAGACCATGGATTCAGAAGATACATCTGTATCTATTCAGTAGCAATAAAAAGCACATTCAGTAATGCTACTAATGCTTTGTAACATTTGTAACACCTTCACTGTTGTCTTTTAAGAAGGTATTTTCTCCAACTGGTGCCTTACCAAATTGCTAACACCATAGAAGATTTTTCTTGTCATTACAATATGCTAAACAAACAAACTAGAAATTACAACATACAATTTCCATTATAATAACAACTAACAGACACACTTCTTTAATAATTTTTATTAAACATATTTGCACATAAAAAAAAATTCTGTAAAAGCTGTAAAACTGTGACTAAGTTTAGGCAGTTGAAAGCAGGATTCACAGAACATCGTATGGCCAGAATAATGTCAGTATCTTGTGCTTTACTTTATACCACTCCTGTCTAATCTATATCAACACACAATGTGAGATGGTAGGTTTTGTAGTTGATGGTCTTAAAAAGCTGAAATGACAACTCATTCAGTATTTATAAGGGAAAGCAAATGGAGTATTTACCTGTGGTACAAGTAAGAACAAACCAAGTCCTTCAGACAAGTATTCTTCTAGATTTTAAATGGAATTCAGCCTGAGAAAAGTATTAAAGGGGACGATACAAAGACCCTGATGCAGACAACCACTAAATGGTTGATTAGATGAAGTAAACATGAAGAAAAAGCAAAGAATTGCCTTACTCAGGAGAGTAAGCATTTTATCTAGGCCATCTAAGATTAACCTGTGCAGTACAGGCTTGTTTTAAAGTTTGATAGATAATGGGTAAAGGAAGATACTACATGTTAAGATTCTATTTTTGATTTTCAAAAAAGAAAGTTAAAAAAAAAGCTTCTAGAGAAGAACAGTTCAGTATTGCTTGAGAAAATAATGCAGTGTTTGTCAAATAACTACATGTCAAAGGAACTGTGAATCTACTGCTTTATCCATAATGCAAGCACAGAGATCAAAGCGATGAGTCTCCGTAGAGGAATCAGCTTATAAGTAAAAATGTTGTGAAGTAACAGTCTGCCACCTAATCTGCTGCAATGTTAGATCAACATTAATTTACTGTGTTTGTCTGCATCTCTTCTCACATCTCTACCTACTGCAAAAGATGTGCAGTCTTCCTTGGACAGCATGTAAGTTATGGCACACAATGTGACAATGTCACACACCCTGGAATTATAAACTGGTACAGAAAGTACAAAGGTTCAAGGACACTGGCTATCAAGACATGTCTGAATTTTCCTGCTAATTGTCTGAAGCCAGAGAATATACCAGGGATAAGACTGACCTACAGGCAACCTGGTTTTTTTTTCCTTGAAATATCTGGTATTAATCACAGCCTTGCAAGAAGTTTACTTCAGAGCAGCACAGAACAGGGCTGCATGCAAAACTGCTGTTCTCACAATGGCATGAAAAACATATACTTATGTATCTCCATCCTTCAAACCACGAGGAGTTAAGGCAAGGTGGAGTGACAGAGTGGTCTTTCCAGTAAAAAGAATAAAGAGGACTGACATTTTATCTGCTGTAACTTGTATTAAGGTATCTTTGTATGAAGTGCTGTAAAAGAACTACAATAAGACAGAGTTCTACAAAAGAACTGTATTTCAGCTGGTGTTTATTTCTTTGAATTTACAGATGGCTTATCAAAATTTGATAGAGCACCTGAACTGACATAACAGATTTTCTCTTAAGAAATAGGAAAGTCTGATCCATCTCTAGGATTAGCATCACTGGCTACTGCTAGCTGAATTCTATATATTATACAAGTTGGAGAAAAATAAAAATAAATAAATTGGGAATCTTTCAATACCTCATTCATACAAGAAAAATATGTGGATGACATAAAACCTTGTTTTTTCCCCTCTGTCTCAAAGGGACACTGCAGTCAGAGTAACAAGTCTATTTCCTTGTTAACAATCCAAATATCTTTCTTATTTTATATCCATGCTATTTCTTTTGGGATATTCTGTCCTGCCATATTTACCTTGCCTTCAACAGACAGCTTTCTTATGAGTTGCTTAAGTGTCAAATATCATGGCCTAAAAAACAACACTAAGGACCGTTCTGAAATTATGCAAAAGTACTTGATACTCAGGTATTTCTTTTAAGGATAGAGAGGGGAAAAAAACCAAAAAGCAACAGCAGCTCCTTGTGCTGTATGGTCACGCATCTGTTTTACATTAAAAAAAGGAAAAAAACCCAAACCACAAGAGGAAAATGGAATACAACAGTTAAGATATTGATCACCTGCATCCATTTGAAAATGGAAGTACTATGCAGTGCCCAGACAAAATTACTGGGCATGAATTAAGAGCAGTTTTTTTCTAGTTCCCTGAAGGATGTTTCTGCTCTGGTGTGAAAACCAGAAGGGTAGTTCAATCCCCATTATGTACAGAGAACTGAGGATGCAACCTAACACTCATCACTTGACACCCAGCATTAAATGTAAATCATCAGTCTTACCTACTACTGTTAATGCAAAGCAGAAGGGTTTTCTCCTCTCTACATCGAAGCCACCAGAAAACAAAACGCGCTCCTCAAATTTTGCTAATCTGCTTTGCTGACATAACTTAGGTTATCAAAGATACCCTACTCCAGTGGGAACTTGTCACCGTTTGTTTGAAAATACAGCAATAAAAAGCTGCAGCTGTTCCCAGAGCCCAACATGAACACTGCTGTCAGTGAGTGGTGGCAATCCTTCCACTCAAGACATACAGAGGGTGTAAAGGACAAGAATAGGACAAAAAGCCAAACAATGATAACACAAATAAAAACCATGCATCAACAAAGCTCTGCACCCCCAGTTAATGCTCCTCTGTACAATAGTTTATTTTAACTTCTCATCCAAAGAAAACGGGCAGCAGATACTGATCCCAGCCTTTCCTACCAATTTTCAGTTGGCTACAAGTACTCCCATAATCGAATCCTTCACAAAGCACACAAGCTGACTCATCTCACAAGGATGAAATTGTCACCTACTGAAACAAGAACCTGATACCTGCCTAGATATTTCCTCTGGTATGAGTAACTACTCACCCTTAATGAAATCATCATATGGTGACTGTCACTGTTTGACCCAGGTTTGTTTGGGTTTTGTGGCTTGTTTTGATGTTTGTTTGTTTTTTACTTAGAAACTGATATGAAGATACTATAAAAAAACATTTTAAATAGCACCAGTCCATGACATTTATTTTAATTACTACTCTTAGAACAACTGTACACAATGAAAGAGACACTCTGAAGCTATGTGACCATTCAGCAATTTTCTCAATTTTACAGCTAGAAATAGTAGGGAATTAACTTTCCTCACATGTGCTCCTACAATACTAACTTGTCTGTACAACAGACAAACATAACTTCTTACCTTGCCTAGATACTACTTGCACACTGAGCTGCACTGTTCCATCTGTTTTTACTCCTTGATCAAAAAGGCTTCGATCTGGGTCCAGCTAGATAAAAGAAAAAAAAATTAAATATGTATTAGTCTCATAGCTATAAAGAACTTACTCTCCATTAAACTTCAAAAACACTTAGTGTCTGTAGCAAATTTTCTGAAGAAGCATGCAAATAATTTTAATACTGTGTACTACAGGACAGAAAGAATTTGATGGGAATTCGAAACTGGCCACTTTGTTCTGTTAAAGGTAGCTCCACTCACAGGGACATAAAATGTAATGTAAACTTTTTTCATGTAAAAAAGTAATGCAATATCTGGAAGCACCCTCACTTTGTGAAAAGTATCTACAGTCCTTTTTCTCAGTTTTTAATTTAATAAAAAATCTTGTCTTTAAAGCAATATCCTCCCTGTTGTTTACAGAGAAGCCACAGATGTCTGATTATACTACAAATAAAACAAGTAGCTAAACACAATGTGGAACAGTTACACATGTAGTAATGCATGTAAAAATGGGGGGATGTGTGTGGAATTTCTTGAGTTATATTTTGCCATCAATGCATCTGAAAAAGATAAAAACCTTCTTGCTTTATGCAGATTCAAAACAAGATCAGACTCACAGAAGTTCAGGTAGCATCAATTCATGTGCACTGCCTCAGGAGGACACAGTATTGTCCTTGCTCACATTCTTCTTTCACTTGCAAGGTGGCTTTTTTTCCATTTTCTTACCTGTCTGGTTTGGGTTAGAACAGAACTAATTCTGTTCAGTGATTTTACTTTTCAGCTAAAGCTCTTCTACCTGCATTGTCTGAAGTTAATGGCATGTTTTTGCAGACAGCATCTGCTTCCAGCAGTGGTAACACTCCATGTTTAGAGTGACCACCAAGGATTGGTGTGCAGACCAAGGTCACTGCTAAAGCTTCTGCACCACACGGAGGGGGAAGTACCCAGCACCTGCAGGGAGGAGCGAGCAGGACAGTGACCCTAAACTGACCAATGGGGTATTCCATCCCAGAGCCACCATATTCAGTATAAAGCTGAAGGACCACAAGGGTCACCTCCCTTCCCTGCTCTCTTTTGCTGCTCCTGCAATGCCTGGCA